AATTTCATCCGAATTTTTTTCACAGTTTTTCTGCATTATTAAATGTAATAACACAAACGTCGCTTTTATTTTTATTTGTAACATCTTAAACACATCGAAATGTTTTTTAACACGTTTATAAAAATATGATGATGGACAACTATAATAAATAAAACAAAAACAAAAAAAAAGAAGAAGAAGAAAAGAAAAGATAAATTCTAGAAACCACGTACGGAATGTCAAAAATTTGAACCATCTCCCAGGGGTGGAGTAACTGACGTGGTTTTTCAAAGAGGGGAAGGGGACAAAGAAAAGAAGAACAAAAGTGTAGCACGCTTAAGCATAACGCAAGGGTTGAAGAGGCTCTATTATTGTAAAGCAGCGGACGATGAGCCAGAGATTGCACTCTCGAGGGACCTACTCTCTCTCTTCCTCTCTTCTTTCTTCTCTTTTGCACTCTTTCGTTTAGTCCATTGCAAATACCCTTATTCTCTCTCATCCCTGTCGTCTCTTCGCGTCTTCCCATCCCTTTCCCACGACGAAATTGTATTTTCTTCGCGAGTTTGTGTGCATTTACCAACCACGTCAAATGAATGCATTTTTATGCACAGGAAAAATGTGTCGATTGTCAGGGGTTGATATATTTTATGTAATACGATTTAATACATACTCATATATACATATGCATGTATTAAACGATTGCTAAAAAACTTAAGGTCCAATCTTGCGTTTTTCCACATAGAATTCAATTAACGATCCCGTTAGTAGAATGAAGTCCTTAACGATAAGAGTACCCCACTCGAAATGAGTCCTTGAACCTACTACCCCTTTCCACGAGTAGGAAAGAGGAACATCGATGATTGGCGCTCGCTTAGATAAAATCGTTAACCCCTTGTTGTAGTTTCAACGTCGTTGACGTTCGCGTAAAATCCTTTTCTACAAAATTATATTTTATAAGTCTCAAATGGGAATTCTGTCTTCCATGATATCTTCTTCCTTCTTCTTCTTTTTTTCTCATAAATGATAATCCTTCGGGATGAACGTTTATTGAGATCGCGACGAGTAGTTGTGAAAAGATAAAATCTATGAGAATGCTTTAAAAAAAGAAAAACAAATTGGTAGGAACAATAAAATATTTGGATGGATTTTCTTTACCGCGAATTAATCGGAAAAGAAGATAACATATCGGATCGAAATTTGTGCGAATGTTAAATATCAAAGGGAAAAACGATGTGTTGGAGGGGCTGGGGGATGCATCAGGGGGATGCATCAGGGGAATACTTTATCCTTTCATCCGATTATTATTAATTCCATTGCAATCGAAACGTTGTTATTTGATCTTTCTCTTTGTATTATTTTTGCCCACAGGTCGTGACACCGCAAAAGTGTGGCGACGTGTACCTGTACGATTTACCAGCTAGTCGCGGAAGTCCTGCTCCACCATCCAGACACGATTCACCCCTAAATTCGAACAACGAACATTTGCACAATACAGGTAAAGTTAAAAACATAATTATGCAAAATGGTATATAACGACGATTAGTATTTTATATAATACGCGATCTTATCTCAAAAACAACAAAAAAAACAAAAAGGAAGGGAAACCGTATAATCTGTAAATAGTCGAAGAAGAGAAACTGTGATTTATCGCATTAGGTTCGAATAGAACGTGTTCGAGAAATAGGAATAAACGAATGTACGGTGAGGCATCTATCAGGAAACAAGACGATCGGAATTCGATAAGCCGATGCATTACCTCGAGATCTTACGGAGACATTTTAAACGATCCTCGGTACTATATATAGTTGGAAACATAACTTCCTGGAGCCGGAGGGAAAATTTCGCGCTTCGATATCGTCCGAGTGACCTCGTTTAATTCTAACCAAACGTCACGAGCATCACGATAATTCACGATAACCGTTGTTTCGCGCCAACCTATCAAACATTTTCTGAGATCTTAATCTATCTTAGACATATATTTTCCCTTTTGTTTTTTTATTGTTTAACTCAAGTAACCAGAATAATGTAGAATGATGATTCTCGTACATTCGCAGGACGATACATGACAAGCGCAAGAAGCTCAGTCGACAACGGTGGAGATGTGACCGACTGTTACGACGTTCCACCGCGTGCAATTCCTGTAATTCCATCCCCGGCAAGTAGTCCGAGTCCTGCACCATCTTGCTATGATATTCCAAGGCCACCGACATCCTGCACGCCAAACTCCAATTGTTCTGCTGGCTCTGGCATCACCCCTTTAGATTGTTACGACGTACCACGACCGTTGCAACCATTAACACCGAGTAGTTCGGCTTCCAGTTTGACCAACGATGGATCCCTCAGTGGATCCAATAGGTAAAATACACCCCTATCCTATATTTTATCAAATAGTTCATTTTATTTGATTATTATTCTATTTGATTATCTTCCCAGGTCGAGTCTCGCAGCTCCAGATTATGACGTGCCACGGCCACGTCTTCCAGCATCGTCGTTACCATCGCGGCACAACACACCGGTCCCTAAAACGCCAACGCCACCGCCACCTCCGATGCAAACTCAGCAAATTTATGACGTACCGATGAACAAGGAACTACCATTGGAATTGGATGCCGCGTTGGAAGGACTTCAGAGGTTGCAAAGTGAAGCTTCATCAGCGATAGCAAGGTTATTGGGTTTTGTTAGTCCAGGTTGGAGAACACCTCAACGACTGGATGCAACGTTGATGGATTTAAGGCTCGCAGCATTGAGATTGAGAACGTCTTTACATGATTTAGCTGAATTTGCCGAAGGTATTACTTGAAACTTAATCAAGGGAAATGATTATATCGTAATGAAATGATAAATCGTTCGATCGATTGAAGTGGTCCGCATTACGCACTTAGGTACGCTCGGTAACGCGGCCAAAGCGCCAGACAAAGGGCTGGCTACAAAATTACGGCCCTTGGTTAAGGCACTTCGTGACTCCGACAAACTCGTGCAGGAAGCCGCCACCGAATTGGATACGATGGAATGGGACGCGGGTAAACTCTGTCGCGGTGGTGGCGACACGCCGACACCTACCAATGGGCCACCACCACCTTCTCTTTTGCCAACTGTTCAACCGGATCCACTAGATCAGCTGATCGCGTGTGCACGAGCACTCACGGAAGACGTTCGTCAGGTCGCCAGTTTCATTCAGGTGAGCATCTGGTAACTACGATAACATGAACTAAATTCCTTGTCCTTTCTATGTTCTATTAACGTTTCCAAAAAATAAAGTATATCATGATTGCGATAATCTATCTCATTGTTTTGATACAAGATAATAAAACATTCTCTCTCTCATTGTAGGGAAACTCGACGTTATTGTTCAAACGATCTTCCATCATCTCGACGGGCAGCAGCAACAACAGCGGTGCCGGGGAAGATTACGATTACGTTAATCTCGATTCGAGAGAGGTCGTCGCAAAACAACGGGAAGAATTGAGGGCATCCTTACCACAAGAACTTCGTAGCAGTTACGATTTGCTCGTATCCGAGGCGGACAATGCGGCCATTCAAATGCCACCCACGACACCGACGCCCATGGATCCCAACGACAAACAATTGTTGGCATTCTATGCTGCTCAGGTGATAACGCATGGTGCACACCTAACTCATGCCATTGACGCCTTCTTGCAAACGGTCGAACATAATCAGCCACCCAAGGTGAGTCTCATGAATTCAAGAATAATTGATATACCCGTTTAGATATATAACTCTAATACAATTTTAGATTATTATATATTGTTGAATTATTGTACAGGTATTTCTGGCCCATGGCAAATTCGTCGTACTCAGTGCCCATCGACTCGTTCATATTGGTGACACGGTACACAGGAATGTTACAAGAAACGATGTCAGAACGCGAGTCCTTCAATGTGCTAATGCTTTGAACGAGGCACTCGCACAAACCGTATCTAAGACCAAACAGGCTGCACAATTTTTTCCTAGCGTTACTGCAGTACAAGAGATGGTTGATAGTGTCGTTGACGTTTCTCACTTGGCCAAAGATCTCAAAGTTGCCATGATACATGCTGCGCAACAGCCATGAATGTATTCTTGCACTACTAGCAACGAATCGCGTGATTGGATAATTAAAGCATGAGATGGATAGATGATTAAGGAAAGGGAAAGAGAAAAAAATGGAATAATCAATGTCTTCTTACAACAACATTTTGTAATAACTCGAAGAAGATATTTGAATGATCCTACGATGGGAAGAAAATGTTTAGGAGACTGTAATCAAATAGCGTCGTAATATTATCGACTGATCGTTAAAAGTTTAGCTATGACTGTAACTATCCTGGTTTCTGACGATTGAACGAATAAGATTTATAGTCTTTGGACGTGTCTTTTTAAGATGAACGGATAATACGAAGAGGGAAAATATTCTCGGAACTTGAACGTGTCTCCCCTTTTTTTTTTGTTCATCTTTTTAAAGATAAGGAATATCTAGGCCTATGATTTATTTAGAAATATGCAACTGCCAAAGCACAGGTATAGCAGTAGGGTTGAAGGGAGGCCAATTAAAAAGAAAAAAAAAAAAAAAATGATACAAGAAACAAAAAAAAACAAGAAAAAATTATAAAAACCGAAAAAAAAAGAAAAGAAAAGAAAAAACAAGAGTTTATATAAATGTATTTGAGAATTAAAAGTATTGTAGTATTTTATAGAGGAAACGTAAACGTGTCATTTTTCGAGTAGATGCGAAATCCGTACGTCGATTACACAAATATTTGGTACTTTCGTGCTAATTACAAGAGAGAGAAAGCTGCGTCCGGAACCAATCGTAATTTGCTAACAATTATTACCTGCCATATATCGAAAACTGCCTTTGAAAGTTTCTGAACAATTTTGATGGACTAAAAAGTAACGAAAAATTTACACACACACACACACAAGTTAATTATTAAATAAAAAATATTTAATAGTAATAAAATAATAATAATAATAATAATAATAACAATAACGATGATGATAATGATGATGATAATAATAATGATAATAATAATAATTAAAAAAACAAAAGAGAACACAGAGATCGGATTTTCTTTTAAAACGATCAAATTCACTCTAAACTATTGATTTTGATATTAGTTTAAATTAATATAACGTACATTAATATTACGTAACAACATCTCAAATTTTATACGAAATTTTTACGATGTCGGATTTTCTATTAATATTTTCTATCAAATTTATATCGGTTCCAATGTCCTTTTGTATTACATTTCTACAGCTCTTCCATTACAGCCTATGAAACGAAGTTCCGAAATTCTAAATAATTATTAATAAACGCGACACGGATCAATAGACGTTGACTATAAATAATTAGTGCTACGATTTACCAAAAAAAAAGGAAAGGAAGAAAAAAAAGAAACGATAATAAATAAATAAAAATATGCAGCAAAGTTCCATCTTCCTTCGCCGTTTATGAATCGAAGGATTTTTACTTGAACTATCGACGCGAAACTGTATTTATATACATATATATATTATTATTGGTCATTCGGTAGCAATTTTGTGATTAATACGATCGTTTAGAATGATTAATATATATATATATGTATATAACCCTTAAACATCGGAGCAAAATCAGCGTGCGCAGCTGTTTGAGCACAAAAACATAAAAATACCTCAGCAGATTTTGCGACGCCTAATTGCTATTATAGTACGAAATGGTACGTTAATGGTGATAGTTTATATCGCACTTTATTTTTTAGAGATTGTATAACCGAAAAAGAGAGAGAGAGAGAGAGAGAGAAAAAGTAAAAAAGAAAAAAGAAAAGGATAAAGAATAACGTAAGACGGATGTGATCTCTCGCTGACAAGCCGTGTATTATAATTTATTGGCAGTGTTCTGTAAAATAATGCATTTGTGCGACTATATAGCGTTCTTGTATATTTAGAATTTACATATATATATATATATATATAATACATATTATATATACATATAATATATATATATATATATAAAACATATTATATTAAATCTGGGAAAAAGAAATCTATTATTTTTACGTTTAAATAAAAACGTGGATTTCTTTTTCCCAGAGTTAATATAAATGGTTAAACAATTAGGTGCTCATCATACATGTCGATTAATTGTCTTTGAAGACACCAACACAGGCAGTAATATGTATATCAATTGATATTCTTTGTATCGAAACGTGTACACAACACACGTACGTATATTACTGTTTTAATTATCTCAGTATCGTTTAATGTCATATCCGCTTCTCTCATTTCCCTTTTGTACATTGTACCTGGATCAATTTGTTCGCAAATATCATAACTACGATGATACCACGTCGTTAGGATTGCTCGTACGTACCTATTTTTTTATCTTTATATCGTTCGAGCAGAAAATAAGAAATAATTGCGTTTATGGGAGTGGGCTTGGAGGAGGTGATTAACAGGGGGAGAAGAAAAAGCGCGTTTAACGTTGACAAACGTTCTTTTAAATGTTCTTGTTGTGCTTAAGAATCAAACGAACTACATACGAACACCAACGACTTTGTTCCTGATGATACTTACGATCCCATAAGATACTTTATGTACGTGAACGTTTTAAGTTATTATTCGGGCAGCATGTATTACGGAATGGATCAATCAATCGCGTTGTTTTAAGATCGTTTTAATGTAAATAGACGTATTTATACACATTATTATAATTAATCCTATTAAAAGCGACATATATGTATACACAAAATAGAATACAAGAATATGATAGCCAAATGCAACAGTGGAGTTAACGTATTCAAGAATCGTGCAATGCCAGATGTAATTTTTAAGTGTCAAATTGTACTCGAAGAAGTATTTACAGGATGCATTTATCGAATTTGCCACGAATTTTGTTTCGAACGAATGAATAAATTTCAAAATATCACTAAATAATTTGCAGAATCGATTTTTATTCTTATAGGTGCACGCCTTCGTTTCTCCTCTTTCCTTTAAAAGAAAAAAGTTTAATAATTTGTGTACACGTCTTCTTGATATTCTTCTCAAGTGAATAATTTTGGTTAAAAAATAAAGATTAACAATAATGCCTAACATTTAAAGAGAAGATTTATATTTTCCTGAGATACTTTGCATATTAAAAATTACATGTTTCAAGTACATTGTATTTAAAAGTAATTACAGGCAATATTTGTTGTTTCTGTTACAAACTATCAATCAAGTATGCACCATAGAACATAGAATCAATTCGATAACACCTTCAATTCCTACTTTTAAACACTAACAGATATCTTCATAATAATATATAAAACATTTCCAACGACATTTTGCATAATTTTTGTTTGTTTATGTTTATGTTGAAATTTTGTCGATGATGCATTGTTTGAACATTCAGTTGATTAGAATAAATCATTCAACATTTTCTTTCATTTTTGTTTCATGTGTGATTCTTGATCGAAAATAACATAAAATACTATGGCATGATGTTAATGTAATACATCACAATATGTTCAATGATCAATTTATATACAAGCGTGTATAAATATTCCAATCCAACTATGAATGATCGCAGCATCTACCGGCATGAATGTCCATATAAGTATCATTAAATACACTTTCCTTTTCCAAATGGAAAAATTTAAGATCACGCTTCATGGCGTAAGCATCTTCGCCGTCAGCATAATATTTCGGTTCTACTTCGGAAATTTCAAAATTTAAACTGCTTATGTATAGATTTAAAGCTGCTCGATTGCTTCTACGTACATGTAGGGATACATAATTTGCACCAAAGCACTCGACCATTGCTCTGGAAGCCTGATTCATAAGTTTTTGTGCAATACCAAGCCTTCTGTGAGATCGTTTCACAGCTAAACTGGTTATGTGTCCATGTGGATTATCTTCACAATCTTCTTCCATCTTTGCGAGAACATATCCGACTATTCTTCCTTTTTCATCTTCTGCTACGTAACTCAATTGTGGCCAAGACAAAGCATGATAAAGATAATACTTCATTTGATAATTTTCCGGCAAACATTGTAAATTACAATGTTGTATGTTCAACAGATCATCCGTGTTTGCACACCGTATGTTTATAGACATTTTGATGTTTCCTTTTAATATTATTCCAGATTAGATCTAAACTCTGCTCTTTAATGATACTTTATCACAAATCAATTATTCTATTGCACAGCGCAGAACTTATTCACGACGAACTTTCTTGATACGAGAACGAGCACTCTTCAAATCATTTACGGATGGAGACTCGCTCATTCCACCGAGTAATTCACGTACAAATCGGAATCGCGATAGGAAGAACTTCCAAACTAAGTACCAGCCTAAAAAAAAAAAATTGACAAATGTAATAGTTACGACAATGAATACAATACAATTAACCATCTAACATATTTATCAAATCCAAACAATAACAATGCATTATTATTCGTGCGTACACGTGATAGTGCAGGTTAAATACCTAGTCTCTTTAAATTCAGAGATTCGTATAATCATAAAATTAATATCAGCAGCTTGTTTATAGAAATTATTTTCCTCCTTCCGTTTCTTGCTTATTTATTCTTACCCAATAATACGAGGCCAAATACGATCAGTAGACTCGTTATCACGGAGAATGCTGCCAGAAGGATTTCCTGCATTATCGAGTTTTATACCTTGCAATACGAGATGGGAATAACTACCTACGATTAGATCCGCGATAGCAGTATCATAATATTTCTTTTCTTTTATAAAAACTACTTTTTTCACGACGAAAGATACCAATCTTGAATATGTACAAATTTTATGCGAGGAATTTAACACTGCACTACATCAAAATACGATCCAACTAATCGTTCAAGTACCGTTACACGCCATTTTGATATTCTGAGATATCAGTTACTATGTATGTGAGGTTATGATTTCCCCCTCCAACATTGTGATGATTTCTTGAAATTTTTCATAATCATCATCTTGATTAATAATTATCACATAAATAAAATGACTTACCAGATGTTCAAAGTCCGAATTCAGTATTTTATGAACCGATGGGAATGCAGATATTGGAAAATGTAACAAACAGTAAAATCGTTTTGAATGCCAATCCCTATTCGAGCCGACAGGAAGCAGACACTGGTCACGTGGTAAAGAAAGCGCTAGCTTTTATGCATGTTTCGTGCTTTTATGCACAAACCGTATAAACCTACTGCAATTGACCGATTTTACGCGCCAAATTTAAATTCATATCACAAATACGATTGTTCTTTAGTGATAAGTAATGTATTTATATTTATAAAATATCATATTTATGTATACATCTATTTATTCGTATCGTAATAAGGTATTCATTTTGATAAACGAATAAGATTGTAACTTACTTTATATGGTCATGGAAAGTATTCATATGGTGTGTATATATTTCAAAATTTATATCACAAACAGATTATTCCTTTTACAATATTCCCATCGTAATCAGATATCGATTTTCATAATCGATTAAGATTGTCACTTGTATATCATGACGCGGATTTATAAGTGTCACCTAAAGAAATAGTTAAAAAGAAAACGCTACTATTTTAAATTAAATTTGGATGTAAAATGCTGTAGAAATTGGGTGCTATTAGGCTATTGTGTGTTATGGTGAAACAGAGTTGTTGCAAATGGATTTGGATTCCGTTGATCATACTTTCTATACTTACGATAATAGAAAGTAAAAGACGTCAGAAAAGAGCTTTCAGTGTATCGCATAATTATCAACAACAGCATATTATTTCTAAAGAAAATCATCAGGATTTAACATCGAATTCTAATTGGACTCTAAATAAAAAATCCTTAAACGTAAATGCATTTGAAGAAACGATTATGATGACTGCGACTACTACTTCGTTATTCGATGTGAAGAAAATTGTTAAAAAAAAGACATTGTTAGATCTTGAAAAACCTATGCTTTTAGACGACATTAATAAACATTTCGATTTAAACGAATTGTCAAATGACACGCATATTCGAGTTAAAAGAACTGATTCAAAATTTGATAACCACCCTAAGTCATTGATACATTTGAGAAATAATTACTTAGAAGATCTAGCAAATTCCTTTTCAGGAAAATCTTCTAACAATTTTAACGAATATTACAATATTTCTAATCATCGAGACGTATCTTCTAATTCTAATGAAACATTTGTTAATAATCACATTACTGAAACAAATCATTACTTTAATAATCCTATTAACGATTCGATATTATCCAAAATTTGTTGTAACGATGACGAGAATAAAGTTGTTAAGGATGATTTAATAATATCAAATCTTGCTGAAGTTAATAAAACAAGATTTAAAAGGGAAAACAAATCTAACAAAAATGCAAGACGAAGAGTCGCAGGGCATGGGAAGAAAAGAAAAATGAAGAAACAACACTTGGGTGGGAAGGGTAAGAAAAAAGGTATTTCTTTTAAAGCTGCTAACAAACGTCATCCGAAGTCGTTAAAACCAATGTCCCATTTTAAAAGCAAACGAACTAATCATATGATTCGAAATAATTCACCTAAGATTATCGACAATTACAAGATCGATTCTAAAATGGAAATGGAAGATTCTAGTAATGATAAATCAAACATTGATGATGATATATCTCGTAAAAAAGATACGTCCGATAATAAAAGATCATCTCGTGAAAGAAATGACAACGAACAAGCTGAAATAACATCGATAAAAGAAAATAAAGATGCAATTTTGAACGATAGTGTACGAGATAAAAGAAGTTTGCATAAAAAAGATGATATTGTATTTACAAAAAGTGAAAGAACGATATCATCGTGGGCATCCAAAAATGGAAAATTTCGATCCAAGAGAAATGGAAGTAAAGATTTAATTATACCAAACTACCCTAACGTTCTTGAAACATCTTCATCGTTGTCAATTTTATCAGAAAATCAAATACCAAATGAAAAACCACGTGCGGATAGAGCAGTTAAATCAATCGAAGATATTAAAGAACTCGCAGAGAAATTAGTTAGCAAAGTAAGTTAAGTTCTAAACGTAGATACATATTATTTGCAAATTAACAATTTAACGGTATAGAAGTTTATTCGAAGGTGAACGAGTTGCAAAATTATTTGAGCTATGAAAACGAAAGATATAAAAACGAAGAAGAAAATAAAAAGAAGAAATTGGAATCAAGGGAGATTGAAGTTCCTCGAGATAACAAAACTATCGAGGAAGAAGTGGTGTTGGAAACACCAAAGTTAGTGGACGAATGTGTACGCATAGGTGATCTAAGTTCAGCCTTGAAAACGTTGAACGATAATAAAAATGCTAGTATCGACGATAAGATTACGATAAGGGAGGAATCGGAGACCGAAAAAATCAATTTGTTAAAGGATAGAATAACGAATCCATTGACGAAGAGGATTGTTAGAAAAAATCGAATTAAACGGAAATCACGTCGTAAGTGGGGCAGATGGACTGGTTGGAGCAGCTGCAGTGTCACCTGCGGTAAAGGTCGACAAATCAGATGGAGACATTGTTTACGCGATTGCAGTACAGTGGAAACTGAAATGGAAGAAAAGGCATGTCAAATGACTGCCTGTCCTCCTGGAAAATTTCTCGGGATATTTTAAATTTTTCGGATGACGACAATTGGTACGTTTTTGTTTTTTATTTTTTTTTTATATATATAATCTACGTTTCTCTCTATGACGAGTAAATTTTATATCTTTAAATTATTTTTTAAAAGCAACGCTGTACAACATGGCAAGCAATATATTATAGCTCTTGTATTTTATTATTATATTATTAAAAAAGGAGAGTTAACAAAAAAAAAAATGAAAAATTATAACATCGGGATAGTTATTGTCTTCATAATTGTGTAACAAATCGCTTCAAGTATATTTCTTTTTCTTATTATGAAATACACACAATATATTATACAGAATATTTTAAACAAATACCATCTTCTTACTTTTCTCTCACAAATATTCACAATTAACGACTGGGGTATTTCGTTGCATACAGGATAAATTAACTGCAGCTTTACTCTTAGCTTCTTTTGCTTTCGTCTAGAGCCGATAAAAGACGCGGTGTGGTCGTTCGATTTTTTGTTGTTTTATTTTTTTTTTCAGTAAAATATTTTTTTTTTCTGTCTTTTTTCCTGGGCATCCCCAAGTTCCGTTTAAATCTTTCAATATCCGGAAAAAACTATCGACTTCCACATTTTTGTTTTTGTTTTTAAACTTTGTAACGCACTTATACAATTTGTTTTAAATTAAAAATTTCAGTATTTCATCCTATAAAGTCCACTGTTCGCGTTCGTGCATTCTTAAAATATTCGTATCGTACACTATTTATACACACTATCCAACAATGATTTTTAATTGTCCGACATACGTGGACACACTTTTCTAATCTCGGCAGCTCGATATAAGCTCGTAATATATATATATATATATATATATATATATATATATGAAATATCACGTAGCGATCGATTAGTTTGTTACTGAAATTGTTCGCTCGTATTATAATATTGTAGTGCATATCTTTTTTACGATAAAATCACACGATCATTACTTATTTTAGAACATTGTACGTTAGAAAGATTTTTATCGCGCATTGGGTCACGCGAATATTATTTTTATTTCCCCTCCCCCTCATCCCCCCCGTCCTCCCTCCTCTTCCTTTTAAACAAATTAGGCGAGCGCGTTTTCTTTCGATGACGCGTTAAATTTTCAAATAGTATCATCGGGAACATATATAATTCGCGTTTGTGATTATGATGTTTTGTTTTTACTTTCCTTGCAAATTTTCTTATATATAGAAAAGGAAATATATATATATATATATATTTTATTATATTAAAAATGACCTTAGAAGCGATCAATTAAAATAAAGAAATGAGTAACGTGAAATAAAATATAACCATAAGTGTATTTTTTCATCTGCAGTTCTACCTATGGTTCGTAACCCAAAGGTACACATCATATTACATTTTTAGCAAAACTATAAAACGTCTCGATGCATCTATCTATTAGTAATATCTGTGTCTCTTGTGTCTGAGTAGCCACTTATACATTTAAGAAAACTAAAAAATAAAAAACAAAATGATCACAATGGTTAAACGCATACATTCTTCACGCGTTCCACACACATTCACAAATTGGTCTTCATTCATACGTTTATCTTGAAATTCTCAGTGGCAATTAGAATAAAATTGCGGAAAGAAGCCGTGTCAGGAATCCCCGCATGTCTTTTCCATTATGTTCTTCTTCTTCTTCTTCCTCTTTGTAGAATGATGACGAGTACTTGTAATATAATTCGACGATTCAATTAATCTTAAATTTAATCAAAGTTCTTCTGGTCGTCCCTTTGGTCGAAGGATATTGCGTGGAAGAATCGATGCACGTACAATCAACAGATTAGTGTTATAACAGTTTGTTTTTTGTTTTTTTATCCTCGATACAGTGAAAAAAATATTTATCATCCACAGAGATCAAAAAATATTAAAATACTATATTTCTAGCTTGTTCCATTTGTACATCCGGCACGTGATGATGATGCTCTTCTATTTCTGCTAAAAATCTGACGTCTCGATCGATATCCGAGCGCATTTGCTTAAGTCTTCTCTCTACGTTTTCTGCATGATCGCAACCTAACCAGTCAACTAAAGAAAAAGAAAAAGAAAAAAAAAAAAGAAACCAATTAAAATAACGAAGACAATTAACGATACATATTAATATTAATAAATGTTATTATTGTACTTACTACCCATAGTAATAACGTTCTGCGATAATGTTCTAGCTACGGCCAGTCTTACATTCGGAACTTTATCCCAAGATAGATTTACAAGACTCGGTAACATTTCCTTGACAAAGTTTTCACCGCTAATCGCATGGCCAATGATCAATTGGGCACAGAGAAGAGCATAGGTTTGCCTGAGAACCCATTTATCGGGATTCATCGCAAGTGTTTCTCTGAGTTCTTGTATAAGTGCCATGGCAAGAGGTTCATCGGTAGAAAGATGAGAAACTATTCGAGTTACCTATAATAATAATAATAAAATAACATTGGTAAATTGGGATTATAAGATTAAACACACACAAAAAAAAAGCATTTGACGATAAAAAGATAGGACTGTAATAATAATCTTTACCAGTATAAGCGCAATTTGTCTAACAGCAGCAACTTTGTCGACGAGTAATTTCAAAGACAAAGGTGCGATGTATTTAGCTACGTCGTTGGCATTGAAAAGTGTAATCACTTCGAGAAGTTGACTGGCAAATTCCTTTCTAAACCTCCAATTCCATTCGTTATCGGTGACAAGAAAATTATGTAACCTCGGTAAGTAGTGCCAACGATAGGAAGGCTTAAGAATTTTAAGAAACGTTGCTAGATGCTTCAAAACACCGATCCTAACTTCATCGAGATCCTTAATGAAGCCATCGTAAATAGGCACGAGATCATTGGCAGCAATTTCTTCGCCTAATATTATCGCTATTTCATGAATGCTAGATGCTAATGTACGTCTAACCTTCCATTGTTTTGCACCTGCTAAAGATTGATAAGCTTTCTTCAAATAATGCCAATTGGCTTTACCTAACGTGAATGCAACCGCGGGAAAACTGAAGGCACAGTGATATGGGATTTCTCCTTCTTCGCATAATTCAGGCTCGGCCATCGATACAAAATAATCAACTAGATCTTGAGGTACGATATCTTGAGGTACGATATCTTGAGGTACGATATCTTGAGGTATGATATCTTGAGGTACGATATTTTGATTTTTCTTAGATGTATACGCCTTACCGTTACTCCTGTCGAATGATAATTTTGGTATATTTATGGTGGTATCTGTTGTGCTGTCATCGGCGGTCCATATCGCTGAACAATTATTATCATTTTCATCATCTTTTTCTTCTTTCTCTTCTTTCTTATTTGTTCGATTATCAACGTTGTTACTATTATTATTACTACTACTACTACTACTACTACTACATTTATCCGAACTATCCACCTTTTTCGTGGCTATCGTTGAACTATTCGTTGCATCTGTGTTGTTCTTACAATCAGTTTTATTTTCTATATTTGTATTATTATTATTATTATTATTGTTATTAGCCGCCTTGATTTTTTCCGATGATTTTTGAGCGGCCAAGACTAGGGGATCATCGAGAGGTATTTCAGGTGGTATATAATAGTAAAGAAATGTATTGAATTTTTCTGTCTCGTCTGCCTCCTCACTTTTCTTGTTTTCTGTCATTTGATTTTTTTGCGCCTATAAAATAATATATATTATCATTAAATATCTTCTCAAATTATATTGTGATTTATAATAATGTATTTATTATATAAATTAATCAATCCCATTACCTTCATTTTGTGTGCTTTGATAGGATAATTAAACATAGAACTTTTTTGCGTTTGCTCGTAAACTTCCATCAAACAATTAATATCTAATACATCTCTAATATCGTAATCTTCCGAATCGAATGTTTGATTACGTATCGCACACTTTGTGGGAAACGTTCCTTCGTAGGAGTATCGTATGCTCGAAGTAAGATCACTTTCGTTACCGCTGTTATTTTTTTCGGCACTGCAAATTATCATTATTATTATATTTTCTATTAATACATCATTTAGCAAATGATCAGAGAAAAATTTACTTGAAATTATCATCCTGTTGACTGGTGAACACCAACTCGCCGTCTTGATTATAAGTAACATCGGTGAATTGTTTAGCAAAGGTTGATATGAAAGGACCAAGAATTTGAAAGGCGCTTGTTCTAACCCATTTGGAATCGTCGTTTAGATGGGTTGCTAAAATATCCGCCAATAATATTCGACGATAAGGAAAAGATACGCAACAGGAAACTGGCATCATTACGTCAACGCAAGCTTTTCTGACACCCCAAACCCTGTCCAAGCACAATTGGACAAATACTGGAAACTGAAATAATATATTTATATATATATATTATAACAATTAACATTTAACATTCGTACTAATAATACACATTTTACGTATGTGTATATTAAACTTACCAATTTTTGAAGAAGAGCTTTTTTTCCAACCGCTGTACACATTTCTCCAAAATGTAATACGCACATCCTTCTAACGTGAAATATATTATCTTCACAAAGAGCTATGTATCTGTCCAAGAAGACCTTTTCTGTGAGCTCTTTACCAATAAGCAGTGCCATTTTACTCATGAGCTGTGGGCCGACATAAAATGCAATATAATGCTTAATAAAAGGGGATTTAACTCGGAATAATAAAAACCATTGCTAATTTGGGAATAAACGACTCGTGAAAAAGTATAATATGTTTTACAAAATTGTCTAGTTTATATTAGAAAAATTCTATATTAATCGTACACACGTTGCTGTTGTTCTTGTTCTTGTTGTTAGTTAAGTTATTTGATATAATTATCGAGTTCGCAATAAATCGAAAGATAAATAATACAGATTAAATACTAACGTGACACAAATAGAAATAATATAATTAAATGATACAATACTTAATGTTATATATATAAATATATTTGTATAAAACAATACGTACAACAAAACCTGTTGGCTTCTTGAAGATTCATATCGTTCCGTCCCGCTCATCAAAGCTGGCTGTGATATGAAGGATAAATGAAATCCACATCACAACCACTCTGATGAGAGGGAACAGTCGATCAAATTCTGTTTGTGTTTTGGCATTTTTCTCTTATTGAAATGAAATTATTCTAATAAATAAGAGGATTATAATACAATAAAACCGAAAAAATTACAACAGAAAATATATTCTTCTTCTTCTTCTTCGTCATTAAAATTATTTAAAAGTGATTTTATATGTATGGGGGGGGGGGCGGGGGGCCCGGAGGGAATCGTTGATTTTTATTATTATATATCCTTCTCGTAGAATTTGAAATTTGTTCTGATGGAAAATCGTGTCGCAGCCCTCATCAAAGCTGGCTGTGATATGAATAGTTTTATTAGCATACGACAACCACTTTGTGAGCGACGCGAACACGATAAATAAACCTTTTGTTTTTTTTCTGTTCTCCCCTTTCCGAATTGTTACAATTTTTAGAAAAAGTTTTCAATTGGAATCATCATCGTCATCATTATCGATGGAATTGTTGTTATACTCGAGATTTTTCGTAACTTCTTTTGTGTTATTTTCGGAATTGCAGATGAACAAGAGGCTGCTTTTTAACCCCCTCCTCCCTTCCACCTTCGCTTTTTTTTTTACATTTTTGTATTTCTTTTTCTCTCTCCTTTTTTATTCCTCTCAGAATTATTTTCTTCTTTCTTTTTCTTCAATGAGTTTAGGAAGGAACTTGTGAAGATCCAACGATGCGAAAAAAACCCCGATCCAAACATCAAAAATGGCTGTGATATGAAATCAAAAGAAAAAGTTACACGTCACAGCCAATTTGACGATTGGATCGCGTTTACCCCTTGATGTTTTTAATAGTTTCTTCTTTCTATGATGAACAAAATTTGATTTTTCTTTCCCCCTTACCCCCATTTTTCCCCATTCTCCCTCTCTCGCGTTGATAATCGATCGTCGAACGTGATTCGCATCTGAAAAGCAATCAATATCTTTGGTAAAATGGTTGAAAAGCGTGACAGAGACAGCCTACACTCTCTTCCTTCTTCCTCCCCATCCTCCTTCTTCATGGGGGTGAGAAAGAAAATCAATATTATTCTGGAAGATCCTCTTCCTTCTCCCCTGACGATCGGTTTTGCGGGCCAAGGTCATCAAAATGGCTGTGATATGACTCGCAACATTCCACAGCCAATTTGATTTATCGGACCGCAAACATTTTCGAAAAGAAAAAACCTTTTCGCATTTAGTTTGTATTGTATCCTCCTCTCATTTTTATTTGCCAACAATCACCATTCTCGAAAATCTTTTTCCCCCATTTTTTTTCATGTTCGATCTTCTTCTTCTTCTTCTTCTTCTTTTTTTCTATTATTTCCTTCTTTCTTGAGATTCTTTGAAAAGGGGCAACACACTCGTTAGCGTCAACATTGTTTCCCCACATTTTACCTTTACCTTTACCTTTCTATCTTTCTATCTTTCTCACACTCATTTAATCTTTCTTGCTCAGTTTCCCTCTAATTCCTCACACCCTTCTCCTCCTCCTCCTCCTCCTCTCGCGCTCTCGTTTTAAACAGCGTTGAGGAAGGACACAATTTTGCTCATCAAAGCTGGCTGTGATAGTTGATCTCTATGACAAACCAGCTTTGATGGTAAAAGCATGCCCCTATATATCTATTGAGGATCGTTCTCGTCGTGTGTGTATATATATGTGTCTGTGTGTGTGTGTGTGTTTTATCTTTTTCTAAAGTATTTCTATCTCTCTTCATTTTGTTCTCACACATTATCATTATTTTTCTTTCTTTTATCAACTCCTATAAACATATTCCTTCTTCCAAAGTATAAATCATGAACCTTTTCGTAACATTTTAACGGCCACGTGATGAATCGAATGGAATCGAATTTTCGAAAATGAACAGAGAAAAATATTCTAATGGCGATGAAATGGGTTATGGGTTGAATGGGGCTGGGGTTGGGGTTGGGGAGGGAAAGGGGGTTGAAGAAGAAAATGAAGGGTGGACAATTTCCCCCTCTCCCCGGATTCTCGTGTCGATGAGTGGTTGTTGTTGTTGTTGTTGTTGAGAAGAAGAAGAGGTTGGTTGTTGTTGTTGAAGGGGTTCAACGAACGCCACATGAAAGACAAGGTAGTGAGACGCGATTGCGTGAGAACATCTCACTACCCATGTCTTTCAGGCGGAATCCGTCGAAGATATTATAATATGGTGGTTCGGGGGGTTCAGGGGGTTCGAGGGGGTTCGGGCTGTGCAGACATTGGATATCGGTTGCTAATGTTGAAAAGAATTTTTACACTCGAAACGAATACCTGAGAATAAGAAAGAAAAATTCTATCTTCTGAATTTATTAATTCATTTCTTTTTTTTTTTTTTCTTTTATATATTTATATTCGTTGATTTGTAATTTTTGTGAACTATTTTTTCGGTTTCGTTAATATCATTCTCTAATTCTTAAGTATTCGTGTTTGTTTTGTTTGTTTTTTCGATGATAATTGAAACAAAAATTTGTTTCAATGAAATTGAATTATGTAAAACGATACGCGAATATTAATAATAATGATGATGATAATGAAAATTGGTGGTTTATTATTAAAATATTAAATTCGATGGAAACTTACAGAAATTCCTGAATTCAAGTATTCGACTGTCATGCGGGATAATTCTTCTACTATTGGACAGATTTCGGTCTCAATAATCTTCGTTTCTAACATTCCGTGTTTGATCAAAACTAACAATGCTTCTTGCGCAGATTGCCGTACCTGCAAGGTAAACAATAAAATCTTCATTAATTTTCGTGAGTATTTTGTTTTGTTGAACGATGAAACAGTAAAGAAGAAAACAAAAAAAGATACAAAAATAAAAATTGAACAATGTCTGGTACAATTGTAGTTCAACTTACTTGACTGTCAACATCTAGAAGATATTTTTTGATAATACTAAGGATGCCATCGTGAAGTACATCGCCAAATAAATGGGGAGCTTCCCTGACGATCATAGCAGCGTATGGCAACTGATCCACCAAATCTAAACGAATCGCAATTTCTGAAAATATAAATCATTTCTATTTCAATAATCATTCATTGTGTGATACAAAATTGTGTAATTCTGTTATATTTAATAATATATAAGTTTCAAAGGGAATTATAGACAGTTAATAAATCTGATGAACAATTTATTTTCAACTTGTTGTTGTTTATTTATTAACTGTCTATAATTTCCTTTGAAACTTATATATTAATATATTGTTTGGACAAGAATATTGATAATTAAGTTATGTTTAATATATATATCAATGAAAAGTGATTGTTTATATTAACCCCATATCGTAAAATAACTAACTATCTCATTTATAAGATAGAAATAATAATCAAGGGAGTGTTTTGATTATTACCATGCTACCTAATGAGACCTAAATTACCAAGTTTTGTGGTTACACGAAGTGATAATGTTATCGAGACTCAACATCGTCACTTTTATTCATATATAACCTGTAATATATACTTATTCCCACGAATATATGTAACGTCAACGTGTGACGATCGTAGATAAAAGAATTACTTTTTTTTTTTCTGTGTGTGTTTTTTTTTAAGACAATAATAATCAGAAACACGATTCAGTTTAATATCTTTTCTGCATTCCGTGCAAATAAATGATTATTACGATAATGAGAAACGAGAAGTAGTAGCTTTGGTATCGAATTAGAAAAATAAAACGCGAAATGGGAATTAGAAAGAACGATGAAAAAGTAATCTCATCTATCCCATATCTTTTTTTTTTTTTTTAGATTTATTCGATAATATCATTAGAAAAGCTAACAAAAATGTGGATAGAAATTATAATGATCCTTTTTTTTTTTTTTTACACAAGAAAACAATCAAATTGTGTCTTCTAAACCTTTTTTTTTTTACAGTTGATCTCGCACAGGGGGAAAAAAAGAGAACAAAAAAAGAATGAGAATAAAAGAGAAAGAGAGAGAGAAAAATGGAGGCCTTTCTCGGATGATTTCTGTAAACCTTAGAAGGGTCCAAGGGTCGAAGTCCCTTTTATAACGAAATACCTCAATGGCGGAAAATGGACGTAAAATGGGGTGGGGCGTGCTCGGAAAAAAGAATTCTGTAAAAACCGGCGCAGCACGGTTTTACCGACTTAGGAAAAATCCTCGCACCTTTCCGAAAGGAACAACCTTTTTTTTTTCAATCGAGAACCTTTTTATAAAAGGGAGAACAGCAACAAAAAAATCCTAGCCGATTTTAACCGAAGACAAACATTTTTGTAACTTTTTCTTTTTGTCCAATTATCGAAACGCTTTTTTTTCGAACGAAAATTTCATTTTCCTAAAAAATAATGCAACGAAAATGAACAATTATGTTGATTAATCTTTACGTGAAACTTTATCGTTTGATACGATCTAAGAATAAAACAGAAAAAAAGTAAAGAACGTTGGAATATAATTGACTTACCGAATTATTTGATTTTATGTGGATATTTGAACACACGTAGCAACAAATTCAACCGATTTTATATATCTCGATATAAATTTTCATTGCATAGAAAAATATTATATAG